ACGTTAAACATAAAATGTCTTTAATAAATAAATTGTCGGACCTTTGTCCATTTTTAACATATATATATATATATATATATATATTTTTCTATCTGTTTTTTATAATTTAATCTATAATTAATCTATATAATATTTAAATTTTAATCTATAATTTTAACTTTTATTAATCTATATAAATTTTCCCCTTATATAAAATATTTTTGGGATTCTTACTTATCTATTTATTCTAATTATTCTATTATTTATTTATTAATATTAATATTCTGATTTATCTCGTCTATATACCAATAATGTTTTAATTAGCTTTTATTATTATAATATCAAATTCCTTTTTATAATATTAAAATTAAATAATAGTCTTAATATTAAGAACCTTGAATCTACAACCTTAAAAACTCTTTCTTATCTTTAAAGTTACAAATTCTTTATGTAATTTTTTCCTATTTGAACAAGAGTTAATATTTTAAATATAGGTGAATGTTAATTTCAGACGTTTTCAACATCTGTGTAGATCTATATGTATATCTAGTCATCCTGCCCCTCCCCGTTTTTTATACCCCCTCACTTATTTTTCTTTTCCCGCTTTTTTTTTTTCTTTTCTATATCTCCCTTTTAAATGCGTTTGTTCATTTCTGGAGTATATCCCCCTCTTTCTTTCGATCTCTTTTAATTTTTAATAATAATAATAATAATAAAAAGTTACTATTCATTTTTATCAAATGTTTTGGTATTGACAAGCTGCAGGGAATTTCTCAAGGAGAGAAATTTCTCGAGGAGCGAAATGGCCATCTGAATGGAGTACAACTGAATTTCATTTATATAATTCATATATATATATATATATATATATATATATATATATATAGAGAGAGAGAGAGAGAGAGAGAGAGAGGCGATTTTCCAAGCGTAGCTTAGATGTGGCACAAGGCCGAAATTAGGGGGCACCCAGTGAGGAACGAACTCAATACTCAGTCATAATTGTTCTAGCGAGCCAAGTTTGCTAACCATTACACCCGCCTCGAGGTGAGGTGCCCATATATATATATATATATATATATATATATATATATATATATATGTGTGTGTGTGTGTGTGTGTGTGTGTGTGTATGAGACAAACAGAGACAGAAAGAAACGGGCACAGACAGAGATTGTATACCTATTTTGAAACTCTTATGTGGCTCTAATTAGCGTAGAGTTTACTCCAGGAGTAACGACTTCCGAAAAAAAAAATAAAATGCAGTTAGACTAAACCTAGGCGAAACTGTGCGGCTATATTTATAAAATGCTACCACACAAATACACCTCATGAAATCTCTCCTCTCTCTCTCTCTCTCTCTCTCTCTCTCTCTCTCTCTCACACTCACACACACTCACTTACTCTTTATTTCTTACACATATTATTTCTTATCTACATACACATCGGCAATAAAGTAACGCAGTGTAATTTTAAACAACGTCACAATGTTTCCCTGTAACATCTTCCAAAACGGTTCACATGTATATAAAAATAAACCCAAGAATTAGGTTAGTGGGAGCTGCTTTTACCGTCTTTCTCTCTCCCGCCCTCGTTTTCTCTCTCGCTCTCTTAATATATATATATATATATATATATATATATATATATATATGCGTGTTTTGCTTTGTCCGTTAAGGTTTGCCAACAGCTGTTTCAGATCCATAAATATCTTTGCCGTATAACGTAGAAATCATACGATGTTAGGCTTCTCTTCACGCTTGACGTTAAATAGGAGGAGACAATCCTGCCTTTAAAAATATCCGGGAGACTTATTAATAACAACTCCATGAAAATTGGAAATAAGGGCGGAAGGACCTATATTACCAAATTTATTTAATTCAAGAATGGTCCCAGAAAAACTCTTCAAGTAAAATGTGTTTATCCCGTAACTCGCTTTTTTTTTTTAATTAAATTACTAACTAAATAAAGTGTAAGAGAATCAAATTAAATGTGACTACTATATTAAATCATTCTGATTATATTATAGATTAATTTTAACTACTCATTGGTTTGATCTTAATTATTTTCAATTGCCTTTATATTAGGTCTCAATTTCAGTGACGAAGCTTTAGCACAGGAATAAACTCTGACATTGCTTCAGTGAATGGTGATATATTGTTAAACGCGTAATCTGCGATGAAACTGGAACTTGAAAATAAATTATCGAAGAGAAATCCTAAACGAGAATTCATACACCGTTTTATATACTTTATTTTCAGTGGCATTTCCCTGTATGACGTAGACGATTATAGGTTTTTACAGCTATTTTTCTTTTTAATTATCCTCCTCGATTTGAAACGTCACGACTTTTCCAGTGGTAGATGATCATCACTCTCCGGTGATTCCTGTTCATTATAATAATGATTATTATGCATTATTGAGAAATATATTGCTGAATTTTCCCCCATTGCCTTCTCCACAATACCATGGCCCTCTAGTATGTAGGCCTTCATGGCTTTCCACATACGCACGCGCGCGCACACACACACACATATATATATACATATAAAGTAAAATCCATATTTTGGCAGTCAAAAGAGGCAGCTAAAATGCCTTGGGTAAAAACCTTTATAGAAGTCGGAATCACTATGTTTGTAGTTTAGATTTATCAGTTTGCTAATATTGTAGTCTTTTGAACCAGTTGCAAACTTTAGACCAAAACTAAGAGCTTCAGTCTCTATAGTGCTAAGTGTGGTTTTGGAGATATTGGTGACAAGATCAGTTCTACCCATTTTCTTCCAACAGCTGTGATCACATAAAGTATGAAATTTTATCTTTAAACTCTTGATGTGCTTTTGATTAATTTTGGACTTGCTAAATATATACATATATAGATAGATAAATAGACAGATATATTGTCATCGAAAGATAGACTGTTTTGCTGTTTCACAGATAATCAGTGTGGCTAGTATATTTAGCTACCCCCACGAGGGTTGCATGTGGCAAAAGGGCGGTTTAACGCGGGTTGTCCGAACCCGTAGGATCGGCCCAAAATATTCCCTTTTGAACCCGTATAAACAGGTTCAGAGGCAGTCTTACCTCCCCGAACGAGACTCTGCCCTTCAGCGGAGCTTCGTCTGGGTTCCTCTCTGCTCAGAGGCAGAGAGTTCAACTGTTTAGAACAGGGCGCAGCTAGTCTCATCAGTGCGGCTAGACGTGCGTTTGCCTCTAGCTAGGATCGAAACCCGGCTGAACTGGCGTCAGTCGGAGAATCTAATCCTAAGTCGTTTTTGTAGGTGAATTTAAGCGTATTTATTTTTGATAAACACGCCAGTGACTGAGAGAACTCGATTCGTTTTATCGAAGAGTATTGCATTAGTATCAGTAATTGCCAATGTTTACAAACTCACACTTTCTCGAGAGAGAGCTCAACCGAAATAATTATTCAGGAGCGCACACACGCACATACACACACATGCGAGCGCGCGCACACACACACACATATATATATTAAAGCAGAATATTGCAATTATTTACATAGTTCGGACTGTTGTCCTCATCTCCGTCGTCATATTTATGACGTTTCAGCCGTCGTAGGCTCCAGCCTTTTTTCAGGTTACTGGGATTTCGAACTGAACCATTCATTTCGTCTACCGGGGTAGATTGTTCTAGTTCCACGTGCCATATCTCTTCCGGATATCTCGGTATTAGTTATTTCCCTTTAACTCAACTGTTCAAGTTTTTTTGCAAACCTCAGCTGTAGACAGGTATTGATCTCACAACTCTTTGGCTCAAGTAACTGGATTCAACTAACACTATTATCCACTTGAAGAAGGCTGGTGAGTACAACGGCCGAAACGTCGTGGATATGACAACTAAGATGAAGACAACAGTCCGAAGAATTTAAGTAGTGTAAATAGACATATTTTGTCTATTTATTTTTATACTGATCCTTTCTGATAGATAGATAGATAGATAGATAGATAGATAGATACCGAACATAAGTAGATAGATAGATAGATAGATAGATAGATAGATAGATACCGGACAGAATTAGATAGATAGACAGATACTTGACAGAATTAGATAGATAGATAGATAGATAGATAAGACAAACTGAAAAGATTTTTTTTTTTTTTTTTGTTTTTAAGCGTTTCATTCGTTAGGATTGCGTCGTAATCGGCTTCATCGAACATCGAGAAGTAAGTAGTTTCGAAATTTATGAAAGAATATTTTTGAAAGATTATTTTTCAAAGAATTTCTTTTTCTCAGTCTAGCCAATTTCATCTGTATTTTTTTCTTTTAGTTTTTCTTTCCATCATCATTGTCCCTGACTGTGACAATGTAAAATCCAGCAAGAATGGTGATATATTGTAAGAGTCTGGACGCGAACTTATCTAGCGATCAAGGCACTTTCCATACATTTTCGTCTCAGTAGCTTATTTTCTCTTTTTTTCTTCCGAAATACTTTTTGTTGGTGTATTACATTATACAAAATTATATATCGCTATATCATAGATAGATAGATAGATAGATAGATAGATAGATAGATAATGGACAGACTCAGATAGATAGATAGATAGATAGATAGATAGATAGATAGATAGATAGATACCGAACAGAAGTAGATAGATAGATAGATAGATAGATAGATACTGGAGAGAATTAGATAGATAGATAGATAGATAGATAGATAGATAGATAGATAGATAGATACTTGACAGAATTAAATAGATAGATAGATACTTGACACAATTAGATAGATAGATAGATAGATAGATAGATAGATAGATAGATAGATAGATACTTGACAGAATAAAATAGATAGATAGATAGATAGATAGATAGATAGATAGATATGAGAATACAAAGAAAGAAGCAAGAAATAAATTAGTACTGATCGACTGAGCAACCAACCTTCTGAGGTGAAGAAGCTACCAGTTGACTGTATGTGGTAGGAAAGTCGGTGTAATAGATATTCTGGGCGGCAGATAACTTTTCAACACCACATACTCATCTGCCGCCCTCTATGGTAATGACAAATGCGCCGCTCATTACCGCACCAAAACATCCTCTCAAACAACGACACTATTTCGTTACGTTGTATTTCACAGTTGGGATCGAGTTCTTTTCTGGTTCTGTTTGTCTACATATTTGCAGCTACATTAAGAATGAAAAGCAATTCATGTTTGGGTCCTCAGCCATACGCAAAGACTCACGCTCCCTTCCTGCTAGCTTCTATCTCTCTCTCTCTCTCTCTCTATATATATATATATATATATATATATATATATATATATATATATAGATAGATAGATATATAGATAGATAGATAGATACACCTAGTGAGCCAGACAAACCTACCTAGGTTTCACCTAAACGGATCGTCAGGGAAAGTTTGGCTAACGAGGCAAAGAGAAACACATATTTATAGGTGATAGCTAAAATAAACATAATAGGCAAAGAAAAATTTTGTGGTTTAATCCCCCTTTCAATTTAGCGGTAAAAACTAAAATTGGTAAGATATTTTTTAATTTACTGGAACAACATTTCCCAAAACAAACTGAGTTACATAAAATATTTAACAAAAACAATGTAAAACTTAGTTATTGTTGTCTGCCGAACGTAGGGACTATTATAAATGGCTTGGATAAGAAAAAAAACTAGGAATGATCCACGTAGTAATCCTCCTACTTGTAATTGTAGAAACAAAACATCTGTCCATTACAGGAAAATGCCAGCAGGAATGCGTGGTGTATCAAGTGAAAATTTACAAAAATACTGAGGATACTAATCCTAAAACATACATAGTGCTACTCAGGATAAATTTAAAAAAGATATTATAACCACACGAGTAGTTTTAAGAATGCAAAAATTAAGCATAGTACCACGCTATCTACCTACGTATGGAAAACCAAACAAGATAATATAGACCTCATCCTTAAATGGGAAATATTAAAAAAATGCCCAAAATATAAAGCAGGCCATAAATTTTGCAAATTATATGCTGAGGAGAAATTAGCCATAGCTTTATATGATCAACCCAACCAACTATTAAACTCTAAAACTGAAATTCTCAATGTGTGTAGACATAAAAAATCTTGGCTACTAAATTAGACGTTTTCCCGTTATTGACTTTCCACTGAGGTTTTTTTTTTTTTTTTTTGTTGAATAAATATTCCCCCCCCACTTAGGTTGGTTTTTTTTTTTTTTTTTTTTATTTTGTCACGTGGTATGATTTTAGCTATCACCTATAAATATGTGTTTCTCTTTGCCTCGTTAGCCAAACTTTCCCTGACGATCCGTTTAGGTGAAACCTAGGTAGGTTTGTCTGGCTCACTAGGTGTATCTAGGTCTGCTCTACGGTTGTATCGAGCTCTTTTGTTAGTTAGTTGTTACTCGTATCGGGGTTTTTCTTTGGGCTTCAGACCTGCATCTGTGCGATTTTTTGTCGGCAGAAGTCCATGTTTGTAGCTCTTTTTTTTTTTTAAAACCTTTTTCCCTCGAGATTGATTTGATTAGCAAATCAAAAATTCGAGGGTTTTTCAAAACGAGTCTAGTTATCTATCTATCTATCTATCTCTCTCTCTCTCTCTCTATATATATATATATATATATATATATATATACCTGTTTCCCATCCCGTCTTTTTTTTTTCCCTCCTCTTTTCTCATTCTATCTCTATCTCTCATCCTTCCCTAGTCTCACCTTTCTTCTCTCTTTAATTACTTTCCACATTCACCCTGACTACCCCTCAGCCTCCCTGTCTCTATCTCTTACCCTTCCTCCGTCTCTCCTTCCTCCTCTTCCTATTTTCTTTCATTATTCTCGCTGTCCGCCTTCTCTTCTTTCTACCTCCTCTTCTCTCTGTCACCCCCTCCTCCGACTCTCCTTCCTCTCCTCTCTAATTTCCCGATTCTTCTTACTCGTCTCTCTCCCGTTTTGTCACCCCGCCTTCTCTCTTATCTTTCACTTCTCTTCTATATACTTTTATCTCTCTTCCTGTCCAGCTCGCTCTCACACTTCTCTTTTCCCTCTCCTCTCCTCTTCTTTCTCTTTCTCTCGACCTTCTTCCTTATCAATCCTACTGCATCTGTATATCTCATTCTATCTTCCTTTTTCTCACTGCCAACCTCCCTCTATCTGCTATCAAAAGTACCCCCCCCCAATAAATGTATGAAGAAAAACAATAAAAAGAACTGGCAATAGTTTGAAATCGACATTCCAAAATATTACATCTTGACGAATTGGCATCCGGTCAACGCAATACAGAGTCATCATTAAAGAACTATATGTACCAATTTAGAATGATATTCGCCACCTGCGGTACTGTCTACCGCTGTCGATAATGGACGCCACATGTTTTTCAATGTGACCGCCTTAATCAATCAGTAGCCTTAGAAAAGAAGTCATTTTTTTCAAGCGACTTTGTAAAACTTTTCTCATAGAATATTTTAAAATTTATATATATATATATATATAAAATACATATATGTATATATATATACACATATATGTATACACACACCCGCGCGCGCACACACACACACATATATATATATATATATATATATATATATATATATATATACATGCGGTAAAGGCACACTGGAAGGAAGTGCTCAATATCATATTAAATGTTAGAGACTTAATATATCTTAATTAAATTTCCAGTGAGTAATGACAAACCACAACAGTTTCACGAATTTCACGCAGACATCAAGCATAAAAACAATCGAGCAAAAACACAACATATATGACCTGACGATTGCGTATAAGTATGAAACTGTCGTCGATGTGTGTTGACTTCAATGTCTACCTTTAAATATATTGGGTTGGTGCATAATGATCCGTCATTTTCAGGTTAAATAATCTTTAAAAACGCCTGATAATTACGCACCAACCCACTATAGATATCTGTGTGTGTGTGAGCATATATATATATATATATATAGCATTACATTGACGATCCGCGTAGATGAAACCTAGGTAGGCTTGTCTGGCTCCTTAGGTTTATCTTTGGCTTGCTCTACTTCGTGTATTGAGCACTTTACATAGTTGCCTTTACCGGTTTTAGAGGTTTTTTTTCTATGTACTCTGAGCTTGAACTCTGGACGATTGTTTTCGCCTCAATTTCATGTTCTTGGTTCTTTTTCTTTTTATTCCTCATTTTTTCTCGGGTCCTGGTGTGTTCTACTACAAGCCGAAAAACCCTAAGCTTTTCCAAGCGAGTACCACCATATATATATATATATATATATATATATATATATATATATGTGTGTGTGTGTGTGTGTGTGTGTGTGTGTGTGTGTCTAAGAATTTTCCAAATTAGAGCTAAAGACATCTCTCAACTGAAAGTATGAAGCAGGAGTTGAAAAATTTGACTCTGAAAGGGGTATACAGTGGACTATCTAGCCGAAAGTCCTATGTGTATTTGTAGAACAGGGTTACAGGGGGGGGGTGAAAAAGGTAAAAAAAAACGTTGTAGTGGAAAGTTATGATCACCCACGTCCTGAAGAAACATGGTCGACGAAAGAAGAATTCTTTCGTGAAAATAATATCTACCCTATTTAGAGCAAAAATAACAAAATAAATAAAAAATAAAAATAAGAAAAATAAGCTCGCCACCCTCTTATTAAATTGAATCGTTGTAATTGATTTTTAAGCATTTCACCACAAGCTATGCGGGAGTGCCACTCGCACGGAAGGGTTTACTGAGAGTGAATTTAAGAGACAAGACTGGGTATTGAGGAAAGGATAAAAAGAAGAACGTGGATCAAGATCAAATCATCAGAAGATGTCGATTGACATCACATTTAAATTTTTGAAGATTGTAGTTATCAGGGAAGCAAGTAAGAGGAAAGGAGTTTCTCTGTCAGGAAGTGCGAGAGAAGAAAGGAAAAAACATGTAAAAACGGTTATAGCATCACTTCAACTGATAAGCAACGTATGGGTAATTTCTTTGTTTTAAAAACTGACCCGTCGAAAAGACGAGCTAAATATGACGCAGAAATTCGACAAATCAAGAACCGCAGTAAACAGCTATGGACACCTTACCCACACATCCACAGACTACTGCACTAATGGCGCTGGGATGAAATAACAGATTCCAACAGAAATCAGAATTACCTGATTTCTATTAGTTCCAGATGGCACGTTTCACCATTATTGCTGTTCTGCGTCAACAATGGTGGCTCTTACCTTCCAGAATATACGAGGCTATTGCAGTTAAGAAAACATCTATTAAAAAAAAATCCAAGAAACGAAAGGAAACTTTGTGCAAATGCACGAAAGAGAGGCAAAGATAAAACAAGAAATGTTCTTCTTAAACCAATCGTGTCATTTTTTCCCCCGTTTTATTTTACGTCTTGCCCCAAAAACGCAACATGAGCTTCTTCCTTGGAATTGCGTGTATTATATTTTCTAACAACTGAATACTGCGCATCGGCCTTCTTTCTCAATATAACGTCTCTTCTAGGATACATAATGAGCAAATAAAGTTTTTGAAAATTTAACGCTGACTTAATTAATAACTTTAATTCGGCGTTTCAAGTTTTCTCTCTTGTAATATTCACGAACATCTACCAAAAACAAATGAAATGATTGAAATCTTTCTCTCTCTATCTCTCTCTCTCTCTCTCTCTATATATATATATATATATATATATATATATATATATAGGTATATATATATATATATATATATATGCCTGTGTGTGTGCGTGTGTCTCATCTAGCTAGCTCCCTATATACCCTATCTACCTATCTAATATAAACTTCATATCTCTTTATCCAATCTATCTATCTGAAAAGTGATTTGTCAGATAGATAGATATCTATCGGACAAATCAGTTTTTAGATAGATAGATAGATAGATAGATTGGACAGACAGATAGATAGATAGATAGATAGATAGATAGATAGATAGATAGATAGGTAGCACGTGATATATATATATATATATATATATATATATATATATATATATATATATATATATATAAAAGTTATGAAGAACTTGGTAATCCGTATGGGTAATCCCAAGGATGATGAAATCCTGAGAGCTCAATGTAAATCCAGAACTAATATATATATATATATATATATATATATATATATATATATATATATATATATATATATATATGTATATACGCTTGGACTTTGTTTTATTTCTATGTCATATTTAACTATTTTGATACTTCCATGTTTCATACCGACACTAGTAAAATATTTACCATTCTACAGCCTCATTCTACAGCCTGCGGCTCTGCATTGTAAGCCTCCCGCTAATTTATTACTACGACCGTAGCAAATCTTCAGATTAGCTCCACTTTTTACCTTTACAGATTGGACTCCTCGTGACATACCTACTGGGTCGAGTCTCCTATATTTCCCCCGGATTCTATTTGTAAGTAATTTTCACTCGGACAACACTTTTACTCGGTAGAACAAACTCCTGTATGGATGTTTCAACGAACACTACAATCTTAGCCCCATCAGAAAATGCTAGGTTTGATAGTCTCCATTTTTCTTGACCCCCATTCATTTTCGGTTAATTTCATAAAAGGTATTCTCAAGGTTAGCTGCAGATAGTTTAAGTGAGATGATGAACCTATGTATCCCCTTCTTTACTAATATTTTATTTTTGTATTTGTGAACTAGAACTATTTCACTTTGATAAGATAAATAGCATCAATATTTTTTTTTAATATAATTTTTGCCAATGCTTTACTCCAAGTCTTCTGTCGAATCAAATTATCTTTGTCATGCGAATATAAACAAATGATTTGTTTAATAGACAGATAGATATTAATAGAATGAGACAGAATTACTTAACAGAATTAGATAGATAGATAGATAGATATTTTAAAAATGAGACAGATATTTTAAAAAATGAGATAGATAGATAGATATTAATAGAATGAGACAGAATTAATTAACAGAATAAGACAGACAGATAGATACATAGATAGAGAGATAGACAGACAGACAGACTGTTTTGTTGTATCACAGTTCATTAGTGTGGCTAGACGTCCGGTTGCCTCTAGCTAGGATCGAAACCCAATTGAATTGGCGTCTAATTGTAGATATTTTAAAAATGATATAGATAGATATTTTAAAAAATGAGATATATATGGTAAAATGAGATGGATATTTTAAAAAATGAAATAGATATTTTAAAAAATGAGATAGATAGATAGATATTAATAGAATGAGACAGAATTGGTATTTACTTGATTCCCACAAAATCAAGATGTGACACAAGGTCGATTAACGTAGGAGACCCGAGTGTTTCCACTCAAAGGCCACTGGTCAAAATTGGTCATAGCTTGTCCAAGCTGGTCAGAGCCTAGTCAAAGCTGGTCATGACTTGTCCTAACAGGTCCAGGCCGGAGCCAGTCCAAGCTAGTCAAAGCCTTGATCGAATCTCAGCCTTCGGCCAAGAAACGATCCATTATTTGTCAAAAACCCCCAGCCAAAAAGCCGAGGCGAATTAGAATGAGACAGAATAAATTATCTATCTATCTATCTATCTATCTATCTATCTATCTATCTATCTATCTATCTATCTTATTCTGTTAA